ATGCATGGGTCGTGATCTAGAGCTCGCAGTAGGTACGCTTCTAGGTGAACTAACAAACGTTTCGTGTTATCTGATCCCTGAAAAATTGTACAAAAATCTCAGTATATTGCTTTGAAATTAAATGTTGATTTAAATCGGAAATAATTAAGATTCGAATAAAACTGATATAAAATGAAGCACGTGTATACTATAACAAAAAACGTGTATAATATAACACTTTTAGGTTTCAACATTTCAAGGTTTCACATTGAATTATTTTTGCTTTATCGCAAAATAGTGATACATACAAGCATCAAACTTGTAAGGATTATAGTAAAGATCCTACTGAAATACAACAAATGCAATGACGATACGTTTTGCTCAGTTTGAAGTAACCGTAGGCCCGGATTTACCTTAAATGCCGCCCTAGGGCACCGTGAAAAATACCGCCCTATTACCTATATCTTACACTAGGGTCTCTAGGTACGTTTTCATTTTTCATTTTCATTTTGAACGGGACTCAATGCTTATTCTTAAATAAAAGTAGCCTATGTTACTCCTTATAACATCAGCTATATGCCAGTGAAAGTTCCGTCAAAATCAGTCCAGCCGTTTCGGAGATTAGCCAGAACAAACAGACAGACAGATGGACAAAAATGTTAAAAATTGTGTTTTTCTTATAAGTATCTAATATATCTATTAGATATTCATATCTTAAAATATTGTCGGCTGGCACCGATTTCGAAATATCTGATTAGGTATCTATTCTAAATGAAAACTTCCGTTTAATTATTTTTTACATTTTAGTGAGTGGAAGTCGGTTTTTATTTTTTGTTAAAAAGTTTTTTTATATTTACCGTTAATTTAGACAATCCTGTTCCATTCTTTTTTTTTTGTTTTAACTTACATGTTTCATATACTCTTGATATGTCATCAATATATTCTTGTAAATATAGATGTATGTCTATCATGTCAAAGTTATTACCCTTAATTGAGTTCATATAAGTATTGGGGCGATCATACAGCCTATAAAGAAACTATTAAAATAATGTCTGTCAATCTGTTAAACTCTGAAACGGCTGAACTATTTTTATTCGGACATTCACTGACGAATAAAATTAAAGTGATGTAGACTATATTTTATAGTACCTTTAACCCGATAAAAGAAAAGAACTAAAGCTCTCGTTATAGTTAGATGGGTATAATCCAATTTTTTTAAGCACAAAGAACTTCTTTTTCATATATAAGAAATAATTTCATATAATTTTCGCAAATGAAATCCATGCGATTATTTAGGTGATAGCCAAGCCTGTCCGTCCATTTGTTTCGGTTAATCTCCGAAATCAGTTATATCGATTTAACCAACTAACAACTGAAAAATTTGGCCAGTTATACCATAGGCTACCATAGGTTTTTTTATCTTTGCTTGTATTCAAGAATTTTGTGAAAATACGAAACTGCTGAATGCATTTTTTTAACCCTGACGTGGCTATTATCATTTAGCGTCTTTAGCGAGTCCACAGGCACCATCTGGTTGATAGATAATTATAAAAAAAATCTGTCAATGGAAGCTACAATATCCTCGTGAGGCCCAATGACCTCGCACTAGGACATAATATCGAACCTGATTACCGCCCAGATACATATGATACAACATGTTCTTGACGGCTCAGTGGATTTACACAAGAGCATAATAGTTATTGTTTAATATTTTTAAATTTTGCCGCGCATGGTTTTATTTTTCTTATGCTCTTTGATTGGTGAACATGTAAGTGACCACAATCATATGACACTAAGCTAATCCAATCAGAAAAAACTTGTCACTAGTAATCAAAATGGCGAACATGGAGCGCAGACTTGGTAAAGGTAAGTTTTAATCTCTAATTATGCATGTAATCAAGTAACTAATAAGTTTTAAAGTAAGTATGTAATTTAGAATACTAAATTGCATGTATGTCTTAATATTCTTGAAAAATTCCTTTGGAAAAGTGTTTATTTTTCACTCTTGAGCAATATGTACTTGTGTGAGAACAGCAAGCGTATGTTCCGTAATTTTATGTTCTTATAGAAGAACATTGGTCTATAAGGCATACTTTATTTTTTAAGAGTTGCAATCGGAAGACATTGAAAACTTGTTGGAAAAATCAGACTTAGCAGATTATTTGCTATTCAAAGAAGATCTAGACGATCCTCCTTTTGTGGGTTCACTAGAAAATATACCGTCCAGTTCAAGCGACAACGACAACGAGAGTGAAGATGGTGATTAGTCCATTCCTAATTGATCTTAGAATAATTAAAAAAAATGTTTACTGTATTTAATAAAAGTTTTTGTTTTGTTATGTATGAAAAAACTACATTTTTCTTAACAGTTAAAAACATAAATTCTCTTAATTTAACCAGAAACTCAAAAAAAAATCAAAAAAAAATGTCCATGTCGAAGAACATCGGGCTGCTATCCTTAGAGGAGGTATATTAAGAGGATTTAGATTTTCTGTAATAAATTGAATGTCTTGAGTACTGGTAAAATTTTAATTTACTTTATTTACAAATAGGTAGAGTTTTTGTAATTTTTGCCCATAAAATGATAAAATATTTTTTTGTAGTGGTAAGCCAAGCCAAAAAATATTGAGACTTAACTAGTGATTGATTTGTATCTACTGATTGATTTGTAAAATAAAACTGTGCGAAATATTCACAATAAATACAATAATTTCTATTCAGTGCTTTTATTTACGTAATAGCCCAATGTGCTTACCATAAGACAAAGAATAGATAGATAGATAGATAGATGCTTTATTGTACACCACAAATAAATATACAAAAAGAAGATATAAACAATAGATGATGCACAGCAGGCGGCCTTATCGCTATAAGCGATCTCTTTCAGGCAACCTTAGGGCGTAGGAGAAATAAAAGGACAGAAAGAATATACCTCCTCTAAGGATAGCAGCCCGATGTTCTTCGACATGGACATTTTTTTTTTTGAGTTTCTGATAGCAAAAATATATTCTATTCTATGATATAAAATCGTCAAAAAAAATTGCGTTGAAAAATTCACTTTATCCTTGTTTTTATGACTCTTTTATGTTTGGGCTGCAAGCACTATACTTAATTATGTACTTGTAGAAGAACATTGGGTGCTTAAGCTACTCTCCTTAAATTATCCTTGGGCGCTAGGAGGATATTTTAATCCCCCCCAACGTGCGTTCACCTTGTCGTAGTGGGGGGGCTCAGTAGTGCGCGGCAATCCAATCGGGCGCGAAGCTAAGAAACGAACAGGGAGGTTGCCCACTTCGGTGGGCGGTGGGAGGTGGCCCTCTTCGGGGGGCGGTGTACCATGCAGGTTGCTCCTGGTACTTCTCTGATAGCAGAGTGGACCTTTTTTTTTTTTAACGTTGGGAAATGCATTTACGCACGACGTGTGGGACTCACCGGCGTAATACAGCCAGTACTACCCACTAAAACCCAACAAAAGCTTCCCCCGTCTTAATGGGGCGTCGCAGGATCGCTTACGCATTCAACTACGACGCCCCGACGGCAGGTCTGCCGAAGCAGACCACCACAATCATGGGGTTGATCCACCGAAGTGGGCAACCTCCCTGTGCGTTTCTTAGCTTCGCTCCCGGTTGGATTGCCGGGCACTACTGAGCCCCCCCACCACGACAAGGTGAACGCACGTTGGGGGGGAGCAGAGTGGACCTTGGAGCAACCCCATGGTTGTGGTGGTCTGCTTCGGCAGACATGCCGTCGGGGCGTCGTAGTTGAATGCGTAAGCGATCCTACGACGCCCCATTAAGACGGGGGAAGGTTTTGTTGGGTTTTAGTGGGTAGTACTGGCTGTATTACGCCGGTGAGTCCCACAAGTCGTGCGTAAATGCATTTCCCAACGTTAAAAAAAAAAGGAGGATATTTTAAAAACTTTCTAAACTATGCCATTGGCAATTTAATCAATTTGTACAAATTATACTACGAGTAATGTTTGGTTTTATATTTAAATTTTGAATACAAGATACGATGACAATTGCACTTACATTATCTCAATATCAAAACAGTACCCAACTCACTTAGGACAGAGCGTGTGCGCTCTTGCGGAAAGAGTGGCGTAAGGAATCGATCAAAAGAGTTTTACTTAAATAAAACGTAGAAAACAACGAGTGCGACGCCTTCGCAACGTTACCTTGACACGAGATGGCCTTGATTTAGGTGAAAACGACGCTTCGTTTCATCCCTTTATATTAACATACATTCAATTCAAATATTTATTTCTTTGCCTCGTAATGGAGCATTTATAGATAAAATAAATGTAACTTTAATATTTTGTTTTTCAGTTCATTACGCGTAATAAATCCACGAACATTTTAAGCAACTTTATATTAAATACTCTGTACTAAAATTATAAGACTAGTCATTTTGCGGCATTAATAATTGTGAGGTAACTATTTACTTCATAACGAATCACTTGATAAAGATGTTAATTAAGAGTGACAAACATATGAGCAAAATGTGAGTTATATCAATATAATATTTACAATATACAAGTCTTAACCTTAATATCTTATTTCAAAGCACAAAAAATATTTACATTAGGTGCAATACCACAGCACATAGAAACCAATAAACATTTATTGGTTTCTATGTGGCTTTAATTGTCGCTTTTGATGGGATCCTATTGGAGTTTTTAAATAGGGACCATACAATTATTGCAACTGGATATAAAATATTCTATTCAGGTGACAAATAAATGTACTCATATATGTGTGAAAGACTTATATGCACGTATGTATGTGCATATGTTTGTATCTTGTGCATATTTGTTCTATATTATATTATTCACTATCGTTAATATAAATGACGTAATCAATTAATGAAAAGAAACACTAAAAAATAAACTAAAGATAATAATAAAAATAATTTATTAATAATTTGGGTCATTCACGCTATTGTGACCGTCATTTTAGCAAGGACCCTGACATTAAAGACAGCATAGTATAGTGTTGGCAATACTATATAAGTTACAAGAAATGAGCAACAGGCATCATTTGGCAATAGCCTACAGCCTCCAGGAGAACAGGACCATGAGGAGCACCAGAGTTTTCGCTTTGATTGTATTAGTAGCGGCTGTGAAAGCTAGAGATTTTCGTCACAAACGAGATGTAGACCTTGAAAAAGTGGCGTCCCATCTATGGGAAAAAGGAGCTGGAGGAGATCATCATGGTCAACATCACACCGAAGCTGGAGGATATGGTGAAAATGGATACAAAGGGCATCACGATTATAATATTGGTAAGAAAGGACATTCCTTGCACGACAAGCAAAAAGGTCACTTCGGAGAAAGCGGAGGTCATAAAGAACACCACCATCATGAGGATGGTTACTTTGACGAAAAATATCACGGAGAAAAGGGTGAAAATGGACAAAGCTTTGAAGAAAAGGGTAATTTTCATAAAGGGCATTCAACTAAAGGCCACCATGGAATTCATAAGTTAGACGAATTTAAGAAGGATAAGCATTTCCACGACAAGCATGGTGAGTCTGGCTTCGACGAAAGCTATGGTGGACATTATAACGAAGGTGGTCATGAAAAGGGAGGAGATTTCCATAAAGGACACAGTGAAGGAGGTTTTCATGAACACGAGCTCGGTCAGAAAGGGCACCATGAGAAAGGCGGATATCACAACGATAACAAAGGCCATCACGACGAAGGCAGTGACGAAGACTACTGGAATCACCATGCTCTTAATGAAGACAAAGGGAATCATGAAGAGCATAAAGGTTGGGGATGGAAAGGTCATTAATTACATGAAGACGACATGATATTTAAAAACTGTTTCTGCGTTATTGTTGTTAATACTTTGCTAATTTATACAATAAATGTCTTTTTTTTATTTGAATTTTTATTGGTTACTTAATTTTATTTACCAGAAATATTCTTAATCTATAATAATATAATACATACGAGTACATACAAGTCTCATTCAACATTGTGTTCAGACAACATATTGTAACAGCTAAGTTTAATATTAAAGTATATAATATGTCTCATATCCTTGGAAAATAATTTAGCGTGTTTTCTGTATTTACCGTAGCGAGTTGCGGTAGTTGCCAATTTCCACAAAGAGAAAATGATAAAACAAGGATCCAAAAGGCTGTATCATCGCAACTCCAATGTCGGATTCAACGTTGTTCAAATAAATAATTTTAAATTGCATTTTCTGTATCATTTTGTAACTTTCTGGTAAGACCTACCGAAATACTATAATTCTATTGCTATATGTACTAGAAATTATTTTTATTTTATATTTTATTCGTGTTTAATATATTCTTGATATCAATAAATAATCATGATAGAATATCAATAAAAATATTTTTTAAATTAGACATTTAATTCAATAATAATTGTTAGAAATCAATTGTTATAACCCGTAGTATTATTATTCATTATGAATATGTACACATTAAAATAAAAGAAATAAGATCACAAAATTGATTTCTCAAATGATATCATGCAGAAGTAAACTTTCTAACTCTTAAAGTACATCCTTTAATTCAACAAGAATTAAGAGTATCTTTAAGATGGCTAGTTTATAAATGGCAGTGTTCCAGAAATCAGAAACAAAAGACACGATACTTAGTAAGAAATATGTAGTTAAGTAAAAGAATACTTTAACTTTGTTTGAGATACCTACTATTAAAGAAAATGTCGTTCAGTAGTTTTTTTATTTTTATATTTAAATTTACAAAACTGATTCAAACTAATATTTAATGGCAACTTGAATTTTTATAATTGATATCGTAAGTCCGGACGTGTAAATGTTTTCAGAACTAAGCTAAACAAAATTTACCTTATATAATTTAAGTAGAAGTAGTAAAGTAATATATTATAAAACTAGCGGCTTACCCTCGCTTCGCTCGGGTTCGCCTTCTAGAAAAGCACAACCAGATCTATCCCACGGGAACCGTTCATTTTTCCGGAATAAAAAGTAACCTGTTGTTTGACCGGTAATATAAGGTATCAGCATGCCCATTTTTTCTAAATTAGGTGCATAAGTTGCTGTGTACTAAGCTGTATAAGTTACTATAGTTTTTTACCTATCTAACGGGAATTCTTTAATTTTCCGAGATGAAAAGTATCTAAACGTTAAACGGGGGTATAAGGTACCACCATTCAAAATTTCATTTAAATCGGTCTTACAGTTTCGGAGATTAGCCCGTACAAACAGACAAACAGACAGAGTAACAAAAAAAATATGGAATATAAATTATTTAAAAGAAACAAAAAAAATTGAAAAAAAACTGGATTTGTTCTATTTCTCTTCTTACATCCCGATGACTCGGTTTTTAGCTATTTTTTTTCTATGTACAGACTTTCGATCTCTACAGTTTTATTATATTTATAGATAGAATAAATAACGTATAATAAAACAGTAATATATAATAATGAAAATAGTTATAGCGAGTGTACCTTAGGACATAGACATATACTCTTACTATTAAGCACTTTACTATAGACCTTTTTAAGACTTACAATTTTCTAGTACAATGTTTTGATCTATCTCATAAGGTTGAGCAAGCGTTAACCATATAAACTAAGGACGATTCGATAGAACCAGTTATTGTGTTTTCCCGTGGGAATGAAAAATTTGCCTGTAGTAAAAGATATTCTAAATGTTTATTCGAGTACTAATTTATCACTACACAAAATTTAGTTAAAATCGGTTTAGTACTTTTTACGTGAACATTTATTTGACTAAGTTAGTTTTATTATAACTATAGATAAGAATTGATATTGCGAGTGTACGTAAGGAGATAGAAAATACCAAATTGCCTGGAAGTGGAAATGTTTCCTCTCGTTGATTACTTTTACAACCTTGACACTACCGGGCGACAATACATTTCTTAACCGTAGCTGCTAACTAGTATAAAATATCTTAGGTACCTAAGCAGGTATCATTCAACAATTGTAGCTTGTCTTACAACCATGAGAAGCTTTCTAGTGCTATGTGGACTCGTGGTCCTCGTCGTCGCGGTCTCCTCCAGGGAGATCCGGGAGAAGAGAGAAGCTGATCTGGAAGTCGCAGCCTCTGGTCATCATTGGGATAAAGGTGGTGGCCATGAACACCATGGACACCATCATCACGAGCACGGTGACAACGATCATAAAGGGCATAAGGGACACCACGAACATCATCATGGCAAACATGGTCATCATCACCATGAGGGCCACAAGGGGCACCACGGAGAACATGGTGGACATAAAAAGCACCACCATCACGATGAAGGCTACCATCATCATCACGGACATGGTGAAAAGGGAGAGCATGGTCACGGTCATGAAGAACATGGACATTGGCACAAGGGACATGATACAAAAGGACACCATGGCATCGAAAAACATGATGAATTCAAAAAGGACAAGCATTTCCATGATCATCATGGAGAAAAAGGTCACCACTCCCATCATGGTGGTCATCATCATGAGGGTGGATACAAGAAGGGTGGTCATTTCCACAAGGGACACAAACATGGCGGTCATCATGAGCACCATCATGGTAAAAAGGGCCATCATGAGGATGGAGGACACCATCATCACCACAAGGGTCATCATGGCGAAGGTGGTCATCACGAGCACCATCACCATCACCATGAACATGGCAAAAAGGGAGGCCATGAAGATCACAAGCACTGGGGGCACAAATCCGGCCACTAAAATGTGGAATTTATTAGTACTACACAAATTGTTAATTGTTGATTTTATATGTTTACTTTGTTATGTTTTTTACTACAAGAAATAAAACCATTTAATATTCAATATTCATGATGTCATTATATTGCTACCGATTCATCCGCTGATAAGTTCAATTTTAATAAATTACTGCAAGGAAGTTACCAATATATGTATAAAGATATACTTATAGTAAAGATTTACTATAAGAGTTACTTATCCGTATTAATATTATAAATGTGAAAGTTTGTGAGTATGGATGTTTGTTACTCTTTCACACCAGAATGGCGGAACGGATCTGGATGAAATTTGGCATAGAGATAGATTATAGTATGTAATAACACATAGGCTACTTTTTATCCCAGAAAAATGTACGGTTCAGATAGGTTTGTTTCCCTAGAGGCGAACCCGAGAGAAGCGAGGGTGAGCCGCTAGTAGTAAATACATAGTTCTAAAATTAGTTTATTGAAAGGATGCTAAAGGGATCGTATGTGAATGTAAATTAATGCTTATTTACTCTTATACATAAATGAAAAAAACGTTCTCTATTTCAAAAAGTATTACCATATTTTATTTTTCAGTAAATACAAAAGTTAATTAATCGGTACATTTAAAAAAGCTCACAGTGGAATGCAACTATTGGCTTTAGTTAATTCTATCTATTCAAAAATATGTAATTTAAACTTACAAAATATAATAAAATAAATCTACTAAAACTATAGTAGGTAATTATGCGGTTTGACAAATTTTTAGAGAAATGACAGGTATTTTTTTACGGCGAGAAGTTGTTCGGTTTATTATATTGAGTGATATCCGTCGGAAGAGGCTGACATTTTCCATTATTTCCATAAGTTATGGGGTTTCAAAGTTCTTGGAAACACGTGATAAACTAAAGTATTTCCGAATATTTCAACGTGCACGTTGTGGGAGCGAGGCAGGGGATATACTTTTGTAATATAAATATTAGACTTTAGAGGAGTACTAATTGTGTATCACCGAGCTTGAATTTAACATGTATGTTAAATTCAAGCTCGGTGATACACAATTAGCACTGTAGCATGTCATCTTAGACCATAGCATTAAACAAAATGAGTTCCTAAGTATAATCGCATAGGAAATCTAATATATTTTGATACGTTAAATACATATTTACCTATTAGATATTCATATCTTACAATATTATCCGCTGGCACCGACTTCGAAAATATCTGATTAGGTATCTATTTTAAATAAAACTATCTTTTCGGATTTTGTCGCGGATTTATTTGGATTTTTGTTTCCCGACGTTTCGAATGCTTTACAGCATCCATGGTCACGGGAGAGACTGAGGTGTTACATGTCTTGAATGTATAGTTGTTACAGACAGCCTACCCACAATTAACAAAATGAAAATTGCACCAATTACATTACAATATTTTTTAACTTTAAACATTTTTATAATTTTAATTATAATTGAATATGGAAAATTATTTATTTAATTTTGCTATTATTTTTATAATTATTACAATTTTAAAATATTAATTAGTAATCTATATTTAGATTTCATGGAGGCCTTCGAGGAGACCGCACTAAACACATCACCTGTGACCCCTCGTTTCTACAAGCGGTATGTAGATGACACTTTCACAATATTACCATCTGATAAAATATCTGTATTCTTAGAACATCTTAACTCCATAAACCCTAAAATACAATTTACAATGGAATTGGAGTCTAATAATTCTTTAGCTTTCTTAGATGTATTAGTTATACGTAACCCAGATAACACCTTAAGTCATACTGTGTATCGAAAGAAGACCCATACTGATAGGTACTTGAATGGTGAATCTCACCACCACCCTTCACAGTTAGCTACCGTGGGAAAATCTTTGTTTCAGAGGGCACGCGGGATCTGTGACGAGCAACACCTGGCCGGAGAGCTGCAACATGTCAAGCAAGTTCTGCGAGACAACAAGCTGCAAGTGCCGCGCCTACGTCACAGGGACCGAGTGAAACCAGCCACAGTCGAGCGCGTCCCTGCAGTCCTACCTTTCATGAGAGGCGTCACTGACAAGATTGGCTACATTCTAAAGCGAGCTTCAATTAAAACTTACTTCAAGCCGCCAAAGAAAATTAGTCAGTTTCTACCACCTGTCAAGTGCCACATCCCTCTACAAGATGCAGGAGTTTATAAGCTTGATTGTGATTGTGGGCTCTCTTACATCGGACAAACAAAGAGATCCATTAGAACCCGGGTCAAAGAACACATAGCTGATGTGAAGCACCGTCGCAATACAACATCTGCTGTCTGCAAACATAGTCAGGACCGCCCAAGCCATTATATTCGCTTCGATAGACCTCAAATCCTGGCGAAAGAAAACCGATATCGCCCTAGAATGATTCGAGAAGCCATAGAAATTAAAAAACATCCTAATTTCAATAGGGAAGATGGCTGGGTACTACCATCGTCATGGGATCCTGTTATTAATATAATAAAATCAAATAATAAATATAAACATAACAGACAGGCAGATGTAGTAAGTTCATACTGTGTAGATCAAAATGACAGCTTATCAGACTAATATTTTCATTTTTCATTTGTAAAAGTATATATTAATAGTGTTGCTTAGTAAGTTGTTTTTAAATAATAGCAAACTAAATTAAAATTATTATCCTTAATTAATTTTAACTTTTTAAATTACACATAGAACAATTATATGGCTTTAATAATTAATACTACATTTTATATTTTTCTTTATGGTTATAAATATAATAATGGCAACACTAAATATAGATTACTAATTAATATTTTAAAATTGTAATAATTATAAAAATAATAGCAAAATTAAATAAATAATTTTCCATATTCAATTATAATTAAAATTATAAAAATGTTTAAAGTTAAAAAATATTGTAATGTAATTGGTGCAATTTTCATTTTGTTAATTGTGGGTAGGCTGTCTGTAACAACTATACATTCAAGACATGTAACACCTCAGTCTCTCCCGTGACCATGGATGCTGTAAAGCATTCGAAACGTCGGGAAACAAAAATCCAAATAAATCCGCGACAAAATCCGAAAAGATAGTTTTATTTAAAATGTCAAATATTCGCGTAAATCTAAGAAAGTATTAGGTATCTATTCTAAATGAAAACCTCCGTTTAGTTATTTTTTACATTTTAGTGCCTGGAAGTCGGTTTTTTTTTAAGTTTTTATTTTTATATTTTTAGTGTAGACGTAATATGCAGGTAATTTGTAAGAAGAAAGTTTTAAATAACATATTCGATTAAACAATTTGTTAAAAATATATATTTATTGTTGATTTTTTTAAAACCGCTCGACCGATTTCGATAAAATTTATATGGGACCACCTGGGAAGTATACCCTTTCAAACAAAACAAAAAATTTCCAAATCGGTTCAGGCGTCTTCGAGTAATCGGTGAACATACATAAAAAAAAGATTCCGACGAATTGAGAACCTCCTCGTTTTTGGAAGTCGGTTAAAAACAAATGTACACTTAGTTATTACTGTACAAGTCATGTCCGCGTGGAATAGTGGCAAGAATGCTAGCCGCATTCCTCCGTTGAATGGCAATGCCGATTCTTTGGGCGAAAAATGCACCAGCCCATAGATTTAATTAGATTTATAAAAAAAAATTAAAAAAGAAACGTAATTAGATCTAATTTAATTGAGTGCAGTACAGTCATGGACTTAAATATTTTGTGAAATAAAAACAAAGATGTTTATGAAAATTTAAAATTATACATTTCAACATCATTTATTATTCTTACATTATGTAAAAAGGAGTTGCCAGTGAATATCTGTCTGCACGTATGTGATAATCTTAAGAACTTCTGAACGAATTTAAAAGCGACTTTTACTGTTTCTCTAGAAAGGTATTAGAAATTAGCACTAATAGAAGCCCAGCGCAGACCAGTGAGAGTTAAGGCGCAGGACCGACGGCTTTACGTGCTCTCCGAGGCACGGGGGTGCAACACCGCCAATTTCCCAATTTTCCCGGGCTATTACTGAGGCTTGCTATACAGAAGATTCAATAACTAAACTTGGCCTGACCCGGGAGACTCGAACCCAGGACCCCCGGGTGTGCAGCCGTACATGCTAGCCACTTAATCTATACTAATATTATAAAGAGGTAAAGTGTGTGATCTTGTGAGTTTGTGAGTTTGTGGGTTTGTGAGTTTGTGAGTTTGTGAGTTTGTGACGTTGTAGGGGGTAATCTCTGGATCTACTGAACAGATTTTCAAAATTCTTTTACCAATAGAAAGCCACGTTCTTTCTGAGTGTCATAGGCTATATATTAACGCGAAGAAAAGGCTTTTTCGTGGTAGTCGGATTTGCAAAGTAAGTCGGAGAAAAAACGGTCGAACGAAAAGGTTTCTTACGAACGCTGCCTTAACGGTGAGAGATATATGATTATGTTCTAGAGAAAAGTTGTAGAGCTTAATAATGCCTACAAAAAAGTCAGCGACAGCATATGTCTAACTTTTATATTTAAGTCACAAAAAGTAGTTTTTTATATTAAAAAATAATTTAAATCGGTAGGTTATATTTATTGGTCATATTATCAACAATTATGAATTCTTATCAAAATAAGTAAATTTATCGTCTAAAATGTTTAAAACAAAAGACTTTTCCCTTTTACTGCATATAATTTGGACAAATGGTTAAAGAGATAATACAACATATTCGTAGGTATGGACGAACCCGAGCGAGCTATTTATCTGTTTTCCTGTTTGTACGGGCTAATCTCCGAATCTATTGGACCGATTTAAATAAAATTTTGCATGGTGGTACCTTATATCCCCGTGCAACATCTTAGATACTTTTCATCCCGGAAAATTAAAGAGTTCCCGTGGGATAGTTAAAAAACTATAACAACTTATACAGCTTAGTACACAAAAACTACTGATTAGATTTTGATGAAACTTTACAATAATATATATAGTTCATACATCAGAATAAGGAATAGGTTACTTTTTA